TTAAACATTTTTTACAGATTTTCAAATTTATAATGGAAGTCTATGGACGGAATGTTCAGCTGCTAGAGTGTGCCACTCTAGCGTTTTCAAACATTTCACTCATGCCGAACAGCTTCAACTCACTCGCTCATTTTTTACTCTATCTAGATAAATTTTACATCAAAACGTAGGGATTTTTGTCAGGATTCAGGAAATGTAACCCTCATCTGTGTGGCATTTACGGTTTTCCGACAGTTTAACCCAGACCACGAAGAAGTCCACACTTCCCCAATAGAAATCCAATGAGAGATCTCTGAAAATCCGAAATGAAAATTCAAAAAAACAGACTTTTTCGTATCGCTCCCATTCGGGAACCGTTCGACGTAGCAACACGAGCCTTGTGGAAGTTGTTCCTCAGACCTTCCTAGCACTCACATTGAAGGAAGTGTGTCGATATCTTTTATCGTTTAGCTAGGAAAAAGGTTTGTTCGGGGGTAACAAATCTGTCCGAACCCCAAAATCAAGATTTTGACAATTATACACTTTTTTACATCGTCACCACGCCTAGACGAAATATTGTAGAAATATGAAAGTTACACCAGTTGTAGTCCAAAGATGGCTGACGCTCACGGTGAAAGAATTTTTTGAATACCTAATACGGTTTTGGCTCACCGCTCGTTTGTTCGGAGGGAAAGTTTTGCTTTTGAGAGTTCTGCTCTACCGTTGTGCTGCATGTTATTCAATGAGACCAGCAGGATTTCTCAAACCTTTTTATTCCTCCTTCCCATTAAGGTTGTGAATGAGCTACATCTATGAAAGTTACCCCAATTGGAGACAAAGGATAGCTGTCGCTTAGACTGAAAGAATTTTTTAGATACCATTTACGGTTTGTCTTCAGCACTCGTTTGTTCGGAGCTGATAATCCCATTCAAAAAAGCCTGAGAACTAAGGAACGAAAGTGAAGCGCATGTCTCTCTGTCACTGACAGGCTCGTTAACGTCGTCAAGGTAACCGTGCTTCAAAGAGATTTTACCTCCACCACTTTAAACAGCACATTTTAATCTAATGGAGGGAGACAACACTGATTTAACATTAGGAAGTGGATACAATATGACTACTGGCCATGACCCTTCCCTTCACACGCAACCCTGATAGACTTTCAAAATAAGACTCCGGGGACCCTTCAAAATAAAAGCTCCTACATTAAACTCATATTTTTTTCCCAGAATATGGCTCAACATTATGACCCAAACTCAACCACTTTTTTAAAAATGAGACTCTAGGGGTTTTTCAAAACACACCCCACAGCAAATTTCAAAATAAAAGCCTCCCATTGCCACTTCATCTACTGCCCTAATAACAGGGGAAAGAATGATTTAATGATTGGAAAGTCATCAAGTATCACTGCTGGGTCTGACCCTTTTCTCAACACACTACTGCTAGACTTTCAAAATAAGACTCCAGTGACCCTACAAAATAAAAGCCTCTATATTATACACGCGTATTAATTGATGCAAATGGATCAGCATTATGACCCAAACTCTACCAGTTTGTTTCTATTAGACTCTAGGGACCTTTTCAAAACATACCCCGGAGTGAAGTTCACAATAAAAGTCTCCCATTTACGCTCTAATACAGCATCTATTCACCCAATGACATGGAAAACCAGTGATTTCATATTTAGAAATGGATTCTATATAACTGCTGGGCATGACCCTTCCCTTGACACACATCCATGATAGACTTTCAAAATAAGACTAAAGGGACTCTACAAAATAAAAGCCTCTTCCTTACACACACTCATTCATTGTGCCGTGTGGCTTGTAGCTATGACCCAAATTCAACCAATTTCTTCAAATTACACTACCAAGGCCTGTTGACCACAGACCTCAGAGCATATTTCTTAACCAGGTTCTAAGATTTACACTGAGATACAGCATCTGCTAACCTCATAACATGCAGCCTAAGCCTGCCAACGGTGCTTTCATCACTGCAGCGGCTCGTAACATGCAGGTTAGTTTTTTTTTTATAAATTCAGCTCCTTAAGTGGTATTAACTCTCTTTCTATAAGCTTCTCTCTCTGTCCTTCCTCTGCTTCTCATGGTCAGTCTTGCACATAGGTTTGTATATTTTCAATCCTCTAAGGATGACACTGTTTTCTTTATGCTGATCAACCAACACATTTTAAATCATTTCAAATTGTTGTGCCAAGTCTTGACATTTCCACAATTTCAAAATTTTGATACTTATTCAATACCATCTTCCTCAACATTTTACTTCCCATCCTTGAGCTACTCATATTTTCTTCAACCAGATAAGATTCAATTTTTTCTTTGTAATTTCTTTTCTGATTCAGCTAATTTTATATTGTTCAGCCTATGCTGTGAACCTTGGCTTAATTTTGCTCTTTTTCTGGACAGGAATTAAGCTTTTCTGTTTGCTGCTAATTCATAACATGCCTGACATGTTTCTGGGCAGTAGGTGGCCCCACTTCAAAATTTCTTTAGAAATTTTTCTAGAAACTTGATAGACATTATATTAAGACCCTTCTAGTGCACATATTAATGACATTTTTGATATTATGTATGGTTTGGCTGTGCAGCTTTTAAGATGAGTTTCTTTCTGCCATTTTAGTGCCAAATAATTCTACCCTACAAAAATCTTCAGATGATTCAATTGTTTTCTGCAGTTTGAAGTTTCTGATGACTTCCTATCACATTTTCATATGTTCTGCAGTTAATTTCAGCTTTATTCATTCAGCAAAAGCATTCCCACTTGCTGTTTCTCCGAAACAGCTTTTTCTAGTTTACATCTGTTCTTCTTAATGTCAACTCTATCTCACATAGTTTTACAATCTACTTTATATTTTTATTGTTGCTTAAATAAAAATACAGTTGTTCTTGACAGTTTACATACGCTTCCATCAAAGACAGAGAAAAATAGCTGCCAGTAAAATAAAGTGAATAAAAGAAGTGAAGAAGCCTGATGGAGCTCCTGAAGAAAAATTTTGAACACTGAGGCAATAATCACTGAAATCAGGTATTTTCTGGGATGTTCACGAAATGTTCAGTCAGACTTCTGCACCTGTTGACAGGTATGTTGGTTCACTGTTCATGAGAAAAATACTTCATTTGTCTGGGACAGTTTTTTTTTTTTTTTAAAGAATAATTTCAATTCTTTTATTATTTACAATCCAGACTTCAATTTAATAAATTAAATGAAAGTTTTTATTATCACCTTTTCAGTTTTTTTATTTGTTATTTGACTTACTAGTGTAAATTGATAATTGTTCTTATGGGGGGGGGGGGGGGGGGGGGGAATTTCAAGCACAACTGTATTGAAGTATTATAAATAGATATTATAATTATATATTATAATTGAGAAATCCTGGTCAAAAGACACTTCATTAGAAGAATTTTCCTCTGGTAATATAGATTACATCTATTGCTATTAACAGCCATTAAACTCTACAAAATGGCTAAAGGATTTCCCTTTCACACCCTCCTTTCTTGCATAACACTCTTCAAAACTAATATTAGAAGAAGAGCTCAAAAGATCTGAAATTGTAAACAAGTTGGACCTACTACCAGATTAATAGTTCCAACAGTTAGTAAAAAAAAATTCAAAACTATCTGCATCAAGTGCAAGAAAGTTGGTTCGTATTTTTGGGAGAAGCCTAGAAAGCATCAAGGCTCCAGCCTGAAAGTCTCAATTTAAAGATGGATTTAAATCCTTATAAAGGCGTACTGACCAGAAAAGACCAAATCTTACACCCCTAAGCTCAACGACAGCCGGGCGCTGCCATCTTAGAAAAGCCAACCAGTTTCTGGAAAACTAAAATTTGACAAAAATGACACAAAAAAAACAATCTGGATGTAGGAATGAAGAAGGATCTAGAAAAAAACAGGTAGGTGATGCACCCCATTGGGGTTGGGTACATCTGCCCCCCCAAACATTTGTGGCTCCCTGGAGCTGTTTCAAAAATGTATGAAAATGAAAAAAATTATTCTTTTTCTTTTGTTTTAATATAGTGTGTAAGAGGTGAAACAAACATATTTTATATTTTCCAAAGATGTCAAGGTTTTAACAATAAATACATTTAAACAATAAATTTAAACATTTCTGTCAACAAAGATTTTCCCCATAGCTTGTAAGACACAATTCAGCGTGGCACTGTGCTAGGCAGGTGGCTGTTGTAAACAAACAGACTGCTGTGTCTTGGGCCATGGATCCCACAAGGTAAAAAATTAAGTCACAGAAGAATAAATTTTTGCTTTGTGATGAGAACTTGTCAAATATCAAAAAGAGTCATTTGGAAAGGCGTTTCCAGGGAAGACAATCTAAATTTGCAGCAGAGATAAAAAGTGCGACAGCAGGACTTCTGGATAAATTACAGGAGAGCAAACGTCGCTTTAAGAAGCGCACAACATCTCCAAATCCCACTTCTGCTGATTTTTTGTTGCAAACCGAGTGCATTGAAAACTGTTCACAGATGGGGATTAAATGAAGGAATCATTCATCAAAATATCAGAGCACCTATTTTCAGACTTCAAAAACAAACCCAAGGAAACACAGAAAATGACAGACATTCCACCCTCTGCAAAAACAGTGACGGACAGGATGCCTGTTTTGCCTTGTATAAGATGTTTAAATGTCTGCGGCTCTAGACAGATTGGTGGGGGTTTTTTTGTTCCAAAATGGCTCATTTAGGGTTGCCGACCCCTGGTTTAGACAAAGACACAATGGGATGTTTTAGGAGGCCAAAGAAACGCTAACAGGTCAGAACCAGTACTGGATCAGATAAAGCTGACTAAGATTGAGCTTATGGGAAGGAATTGTGTATTAATGCCTGGTCTGTGCTGAGGATCAAACCAATTTACATGAACTTCAACATTTCAGCCATTAATCTTGGTGGCAGTTGTTGCTTTATGCATTATAAAGTATGTGGAGAAGGACCTGAAAGAGACCTGATCTACTCTGCATGACTAATAAGATATGTATTAAACGGTTTCAGAGGTTACCTGAGTCCGGCAGTCTGTTGCCGCCCCTCCAAATGTGGCTGAACTCCTGGCACTGTTCATTCTGGCTGAAACCCCACTGGGAGTTGAAGCACAGCTCCTCCACCAGCATCAGCGCCTTCTTACACATGTCTTCATCCCAGTCCCCCGACATGCTCCAATCCGCATCGCACTCCCACCGCAGCAGTCAGCCGATGGCAGCCCAGCCCTCGGCGCCCTCACCTGTCGGACGGCCCCCTGCAGAAGTACGGTGCTGACCCGTCCACCTTTTTACAAAAGTGTAAGCTGGGGGAGGTGATGCAGGAAGGACAGGTCGGACCAAGCAGGTCACAGAGACCAGGCTGAGATGCCCCTGAAAGACATGTGGAGAGAGAAAGTATCATTACTAATTACTCATAATAGAAGTTTCTAATTTCTGCAAAGCTAGAAAAATCTGTACTGTAAACACAGGTTGGCAGAACTCAAAATGTTGAGGCATAAACTTCAGCAGCTTTTTAAGTTTAGGATTTAAAATGTACTTTTTTAGTTTGCCAAACTTTGAATTATCTCTTATGTAATGCCCATTTTGTTGACTTATATGAGGTCATGATCAAGCTACATATCAAAGGCCCAGTCCTATTTCTCTCACTTGTACTCTTTTGGGCCCTAGCACATAAGGGTAGTGTGACCCAATAGTTATACTGTAAGAGTTAGGGGGAAGTGCCTTCAATCCTTAAATGATTTCTTCATACCGAGGGTGGCCAAGAACTGACTTGGGACGAACTGGCTTCCCAGAATACTGCTTCTTACTTAAATTTTAAGGTTTTTATCCCCTCAAAGGGATAAAAACATAATCTTTATTGTTTCAGGGGCAGAAACAGTCAGACCCCCTACCTTTACAGTTGCTCCAAGAAGCAAATGCTCTGCTCACTAACCACTAGGTCACCCATGGCAGTTCCAATTTCTGATTACTGGTAACTTAACTATATTTTAACTTTTGATTTAAATGGGAATTACATTAAAGGGGTTTTATGTACAGTACAGAACAACGCTAATTTGATTAGCAGCATCATTTCAGCAGCAATTTGTATAGTATTAATCAAACATTAAAAGAAAATTAAGCCTCTAACTAAAAAAAAAAAAACAAATCAAAAATTTTATTTAATTATTTCAAATTTCGCAACAAAAAACACAAAGTTTAGGTGAACTTTCACTTCATCTCACATTAAGTTGAATATTAAAACTACCCTGGTTTTCTGAACAGACTTAAATTCTTGTTACTATATCTATATCGAGTTATTATTTTGTTTTTAATTTTGAATTGAATAAATATAAAAAATAAATAAAAAATGTAATATATTGGTAAGAACAAAATTTCACACTGAAAGCAAAAACTGATGTTGTTAGAAAAGGTTTTGAGAGTAAAACGGTTTGCCGTTAAATAAATAAAAGATAAACTGACATTAGGAAAATGATTTCCAAGGGGAAAAAGCTCTCAAATATAGATTTCTCTTTCAAAACTATTTTTCTTCTCTCTCTCAAAACCTTTGCTCTTATTTCAGGATTTGGGCCTGTGTTCCTATTGCCCAGTCTCAACAGAATTTAGAGCTGAGTGATATTTGGTATGGAAGAGAGCTTCCGGCTGTGCTGATGGATTAAAAGTCTGTTGTAAAGCTAGACAGAGCTGTCTCCAACTGAACAAGATGGCTGGCATCACGTTTATGCTGTGCAACTTATTGGTAACAAATAAACCTTAAACAAGCACCTCCAGTCAGAGACTCATTTCATCACGCTGCACCACAGAGCTTAACAGGAAGTCATTCCTGCCTGTGGACAAAACTGTATAATTTATCTCTCTGATAGTCATTTCATTTCATTACTTATTATTAATTTAATTAATTACTTCACTAAGTGCAATAACAGGGTCATGTGCAATCATTTTAATTTGGTACTGAGCAGCATTGTAAATAATGTTGTTTGTATATACTGTGATCCTTATCCAACTTTATTCTTATCCTTGTCTTATTTTTAGTGTTGCACCGATACGGATACCACTAAAACTGTGATATCTGTATCGGCGAGTACCAACAAATTGGGCACCAATACCATTTTGAGAGCGAAAAGTTTATTCAACTATTTTTACTCATTCCAGGTAGGTAATAAAAAGTTTTACTGGATTCACTTTGTATTAATCTTTTTTTTCCTGCTTCACAAAGGCAGGCAGCAGCTTGATAAAGCCATGATGGGAATTATTTTACATCCAATTAGTATGCACACAAACATCAAACCACATTTTCACTCAGTCTCACCACTCAGCTGTCAATTGAACATGAAATTTCTCATCGAAAGAAAAAATAAATCTATTTTTGAGAGAACATTTTTCCTTGCAAACAAAAAAATATATATATATTTGAAAGTAAAAATTACTTTTTGAGAGAAAACTTTTCCCTTGGGAATCATTTTCCACATGTCAATTTTTATTTTATTTATTCTATTTCAAAATATTTTCTCTCTAAACATTTTCTTCGATCTGAAATAACATCAGTTTTTGCTATCGGTGGTCAAATTTGTTTTCCCTCGTATATTTAATTTACTTTCAAAATATTTTTTCTTGAATTTAACAAAAACAAAAAAAGTTATTCCATATAGTTTTTCATATTTACACAATTATAAATAATTATTCAGCTCAAAAAAAGGAAGTTGTTTTTTACAGCGTAGGCCTTTGAATTCTCTTCCTTTAGCGAAAGCACTTTTTAACATCATAAAAGCAGTTAAAACCAAAGCAGGTTTTACATCTGAGGGCGTAATAAAAAGGATCTGCTCTTTACCAGGTTGTTAAATTAATTAAACCTTACCTCAAGCATGCACTACGGAGTACAACAGATTGCATTATTTATTGGACAAATCTGAAGCCAAAATGAGAAAAAACAAGTAGCCTATGCCCTACAGTTCAACAGCCTTTAAACCCACATGTAGCAGCAATTACTCCGTTGTTATGCTTTTATTTGTCGTACATCGTTATATAATTTGCTTATCTCATGTTGGACCTGATCTTCACTTTTGGACAAATGGTGTCATGTTTAAATTGTGAATACTGTGGCGGAACCAATAAATAGTAACTGTCCTGAAGCTAGAGGACATCATCACCCCTCCATTACTTTGCTTGTTTGTTTTTTTCTATTGTTTTAATATTCCTGTACAACTTGCATTTGTTTATCCCACTTTTCCTATTTCTAAATGCATTTACTGTCTTTGTCTTTGTCTTAGCAACTTAACAGCAGAGCTAATTCCTTGTTCATGGAAAACATCACATGGAATGATTTTGATTTTTCATGACAAGAATGGCTCCTTTATCTTTCCTTTGGTCACATCTGTTGACCTAGGGTTTATTTGCTGGGGTACTAATTCCTGAAAAAGGTTAGCATCTGTAATAAATGTGAATAATCTTTCTGTCAAAAGGCTGGCTTCAAATCGAAATCTGTGCTTTTCTGGAAGTCAGTATAAAGTCCGTATTAATAACAGCCAAACGCTGGCTGTTAATATCAGCACAGTTTAGCTTATCAAACTAATATTGATATGCTTAAAACTTAACACTGGCTGATACTGATATTAAGTCTTAGATTTTCATATATTTTGCATTATGACTTAAAGGGAAACGCCGTTTTTTTGTTTTTTTTTACATTGGGCCCTTGATTTTACGTTATTTCATCATGTTTCATCAATGTTTTGTCTCATTTGGAGCCGTTCTGAAGATATTCCGTTAAGTTATATCCAAGTAATGTCTTCCTATGGGCAACAACTTGAAGGCACAAACTAAACTGTTCACAATTTATCCTTTTTGGCAGCGGTCCCCAACCACCGGGCCGCAGACCGGTACCGGTCCATCGGTCATTTGGTACCGGGCCGCACAGAAAAATATATTTATATATAATTTATCGACGATCAGAGTCTGAGTGATGTTTTATTTCGCAAAATATAAAAAATTGGGGTATTCCCTCCCAATTATATCAGTCGGTGCATCTGTGCCTCTTGACACAGGTTAATTCAGTTCAAGACTCATCCTTTCTATAACATCCTATCTTTGTGAAGCGGGATTTTCTGCAGTTACAGCGACCAAAGCAAAGCTACGGAGCAGACTGGACATAAGGAGCACACTTCATGTTTCATTGTCTCCCATTATGCATAGATGGGACCGGCTTGTTTCAGAGAAACAAGCTCAGGGCTCCCAATAATTCAACATGATGGTAAGTTTTATTTTTATGCTGTTTGTATTTGATTTTATGCCAGTCATATGATTTTATTTGATCGTATTTACCCCCCTACTCTTTAAAGGCTGGTCTGTGAAAATATTGTCTGACATATAGCCGGTCCGTGGCGCAAAAAAAGGTTGGGGACCGCTGCTTTATGGTACGCCAGCATTAATAACATGTAGGCAAATCACTGTCCCCCAGACATCCACGGTTATATTTTTTATATTTTTTTAAAACAAAGCAGAGTGTGTGTGACGTCATCCGTGCGCCGGACTGGAGTTGTGACAGGCAGCCCAGGCCACAGGCGGCTACGCTCTACCCCTTATATTCATTCGGCTTGCTACTCTAAATCGTTCAATTCCATTTTGAGAGCGAGATCATCTGTGGTAGAAGCACTAAACATCTTCCAGGCATGTGAGTAAAACTAGCAGCAGTTCAGCGGACAGGATGAATGAACGGTAACCGGCACGCGTGGATGACATCTTTGTTTTTAAAAGATATAAATATAAAAAATATAACTGCGGATTTCTGGGGGACAGTGATTCGCCTACATGTTATGAATGCTGGCGTACCATAAATGATAAATTATGAACAGTTTAGTTTGTGCCTTCAAGTCGTTGCTCATAGGAAGACGTTACTTGGATGTAACCTAATGGAATATCTTCAGAACAGCTCCAAATGACACAAAACTCATATGGGTGAGTAGAACATGATGTAATAACGTAAAATCAAGGGCCTAAAGTAAAAAAAAAACGGCGTTTCCCTTTAAAGGATCTCATATTAAATGGGTAAAAGCTGGGTCATATTTCTCCCAATAAGACTGTGATGCAAATATTCACAATGTGCTCTTTTTTATGTTTCTTGTGGTCAAAGATCAATTTTAAATATACATATGTTTCCTGTACTTTGAGCCAGATTATTGAATCAACACTTTGCATGCGTCGTTTCACAGGGCCATGATGGCAATTACCTCCTGGGGCAGTAGTAATAGTTTTAATGTCTAAAACTGACCAGTAGCTTTCTGTAATTACACAGTAATTTACACAATTACAGGTTCTCTTGAGCTGTCTCTCTAAAAAGCGTGGTAGAGGCTTACTGAGAGTAAATTAAATAAGAACTGTGTCTATTTTTCTTATTTAGAAATAATCCAATAAACTTTGATTTGCAAAAAAATAAGCTTGACAAAAAAAAGATCATTAAAGAAGCAAAAACTTTGGTTTTAAGAATGTTTTGAATTTCAAATAGATTTTTTTTTAATACCTTTTCTGGACTCGACTCTTGATGTTGATGTCGGTCATGGTGAATTTCAGAGGCGGGTAGAAGACACTCTATGCCTAAAAGCTTCTCGGTGAACAGATTCGATGGAGGAACACAGACTTATCTCTGGTGTGAATGCATAACCCTGGTTCTCCGCTGTAAGGTGTGAACAGAGCTGACGTTTTTAGCTCCAGCAGGACCTGTTGGCATGCATCGGTGAAGTTGGTCCTTTCCACCAATCTACACGGACAGGAGGCTGACAAGAGCACCTGAAAAATAATGAAAGTCAGCTGATCAAAAGCAGGTAGAGCCAACACAAACAACAAAGGAGCCAAAAGGTTGAATGCATCAAACACTCATAAACATTTCACTTCAATATAATTAGAAATGTAAAGTCTGGCTCTTTTATGTGAGCAGTTCTCTGTCCTTTCATCCAAGAGAAGCTGGCTTTTAGTTCATGGTCTTCATTTTTGATCCCATTCTGTCAAAATAAAACAGGCCAATGCTAAAAGGCTTCTCTTTCCCACAGTCTGTGTGCCTCTGGGGGCCCTAACCAAATGTAATGTATGTAAGATATGTCTCATTATACAAATCTACTGAAATAATTTACATCTTTACACTTGGATATACTTCTGCGCAAAGGTGCTGAGTCATCCCTTATAACATGCTAAATAGTTTTCAGACTTCCAGACCTTTTTTAAATGTCTTAATGTAATTCTAATCAATAGATTTAGTCTTTCTGGTGGTGCTTTCAAGAATTTACCTTTAAATTTTTCAACCTTTCCATTAAATTTCATTTCTTTAATGTGGCTTTGTATATATTTTTCTTATGTGTGCTTTACAATTAAGCAACAATGTCCAGCTAGGAAACAATATTTGGTTTGGATCCCTAAAACATCCACAGCAACAGAACTACATTTTTATTTCAAGAAGAAAAAGGAGTTTGATATGGCGTTCCTTTATTTAAAGGTAATTTTTTTTTAATCAGTTTTAAAAGAGTGTCGTCTCTGGCATTTGTTAAAGACTTCTCTCAAAAAATGGGACTAATTGGGTCTTTGCTCAGGCTAATGCAAAACTGGTTCTAAAAGAGTCATTTTAAATTGCCTAAATTATTCATATGCCAAAGTTAAATGGGGAAAAATACCTTTACAAGGACCTGACTATGCTCTCTGTGACAGATCTGAACATGATCAGATCATACATGGGTGTAATTCTAATCCCTTCAAGATCCTGAATTATTATAATCCTGGAACCAGGGTTGGAGACCCATGATAAAGACGTGTTACTAAACCAACCACACTGACCACACTGTCATGTTCGGCTTTTATATTCTGCATAATAGCAACTGTTTTTAAAACTGCTAAGACAGCTTTTGTGTCTCATCAGATGTTGCAAAGCAGTTTTAACTTGATGGGAGATATTGTTGGTGCTTCACAACAGGAAATATCAGTTTAATTTGTTGTGCTGCTGGTCAGCAGTCAGCTGTGATATATTTCCAGGGTTCCTGTCAATGTTACTAATTATGGCTTCAAGCTAATTAAATCACAAACTTAATATCCTCCAAAAAAAAAAAAAAGTCTGATGCGTTTCTCATTAGTTAAATCAGCAATGCAGACAGCCCCTGGTCACTGCTGTACAGTAGCTGGCACTATGTCACAGAAAGAGTTGCATCCAGCAGACTACAGGAAGAACCTTACAGTACATATAAATAATTCACAGAGAAGGAGGATCATCAATCAAAAACCTGAGAAAAAAATTGAAAAGGTGAGATGGGGTAAGAAGATGGAAGATGGTTTGATAGAATCAAAAAGGCAGTGGAAGAAATGATAAGGAGAAGAAGCAGAAAGGAGAGAAAACTGATAATAAGACCAGGATCTCAACAAAGAGGAATTATTTATAGACGTTTTGAAATACAAAAGCATAATACAGGAAACTGTGACCACCGTGGGGAGGATGAAACAATAGACTATGTTATACCGGAGTGTATGAACTATGAGCCTCAACATTTATGAGAATAGAAAATATGATGGGCACATTGCTAATAAACTTATGGAGCAAACATATAAATAATTCATTAGTATAAAAAAGATTAATGTCATTTCATTGTGTGGTAATCTATAATCACACACCTAAGACACCAAACCACATACTGAAGCTCACTCCATATCAGACGGTGATGGTAAAAATGTCCTTTTTTCTCCTGAACTTTAAGAAGTGAATGATAAGAGACGACATTAGAAAAGGAGATCCAGAGAAATGTGAACAAACTGTTTTCAGGAAAAAAAAAAGCAAATTTAACAGAATTCTTATCTCCTCTCTCCCTTTTAAGAACTTCAATATGATTCATTTTGAGAAACTCTAAATGCAAATTTAAATACAAATTAATTCTTATCAAAAGAATGAATCTTCTAAAAAGACCACCCCTCAAAAAAAAAAAAAAAAAAAAAAAATGGAGGTCTGGAAAACAACTTGAGGTTAGTGGAGGCAAAGATTTATGACCTCCAACTGGCCAATATTTGATTACTGCTTGTTGATTCTACATACAGGTTTCAGACCAGTAAGCTTATCAGGCAGGTACAAAAACACCATGATGATTGAACCAGCTTTTGGTAGCCTTTGAAGTGTAGCCAGGTGCAAAGCCCCAAAATAAAATCAACCTCTCCATAAAAATTGTCAGCAGAAGAAAGCCTGAGGAACTATAAAACTTCCTGGTCAACTTCACCCCAAATCATCCTTGACTGTTTAAAACGCATACAGGACATGGATTGTGTGCATCTCCACTCATCCAGACATTAATTTAAAAGAAAAGCAGAATTGACTTTAATCTGAAAGGAGAAGTTTGGTCAACTGAGCAACGGTCCAGTTGTTTTGTTTTCTTCTGACTGTTTCTCAAATTCAGGAGTAGCTTAAATCAAAGAAGGTGACAGTTGTAGCAAAACTCAGGACAAATCTGTTAGACCTAGTTATTTAAGAATTTATTCCTGCTGGATGTGCGTCACAGTTTTCCTTCCACTCAACTTTCCAATAAAATGGTTTGATGCAGTGCACTGTAAACTGACATATTCTGTAGAAACTACTCTTTAGTCAAGACTACAGAGGCTTTATAATTTAAAAATAAGACCTTTTTATTGATGTAATATAATACATTTTTATTTTACTTAATCATCAAACTGACTTGAAAAACATGCCTGAAATATTGCCTTCCCTGTGCATAAATCAATATAATATAGGTATAAATAAATGAGGGTTGCTTTGAGACTTCTGCACACTCCTGTAAGCCCAGCAGGGGGAAAAAAAAGGTGTATACGTGGTTCGGCTGAAAAATAAATCAGTGGTAAAACACAGTGTTCATGATGAGAAGTCAGCTCAGTTCCCCACTCAGCTGTTTTGTCCTTGTAAAGACCTATTTCTCAAGTGAGGTGGCATGTCAAACAGAAGCAGGACTATTGATCATCTGATGTATGTCGTTCTGTGAGATGTCAACGTCAGCCTAGTGGCACCTCCCTTGCAAAGCGGTCCTCGAGTGTCCATCTGTCTTCCGTCTATCAATCAATCCCCACATTAAGAAAAGACATATTTCACTCACTCAGTAGGGTTAGAAAGAAGAAGTGCTTCCACTCAATCTCTCCTCTTGGTCAGTCTAGTCCATTGTAGCTGTCTGTCTCAGCTAAAGCCTGGTGCAGTTATGTTACAAGAATCATATCATGGAATAACAACATTGCACTCTTCATTTAAAAAAAGCAACTTTGAGTGACTTAATAACTGACATATCTCAATACACAAAATGGGAGTCTGACAAAGAGGTTTGCTGCCTCTAATGCCAGCTGGAGCATCAAGAGAGAAGCAAAAAGAAAAAGATTCAGGAAAGAGAAATGGGTCCCGATGAAGGAGGTTTGGGACATGCTCAGCTAGGGAGTAAAAGAAAAGCTGGATGCACTTTATTGCAATCATATCTACAGACAAAGGAATTGACAAATAATTGGGATTGGATAGCACTGAGCCCAGAAACACATGTTCCTCCTGTAGAATCAGAGCAACACTAAACCTGCCGCAGACACTCTATTGACTGCCGCTCGGTCTGGGATCAATACTCCCAGGGAAAAAATAGGCCACATCACGAAGCAGCAGGGTCACTGTCCGGCTGAGAGGCTGAGACAGGACGCCCTGCAAGGTCATCGTCTCATTTGGCATCGAGGAGAAAAATCAGCCACGTCCAATCGCTTAACCGGGGAAAAAGAAGGACTGAGAACAAGATGAGATCACTCTCCAATCACATCATGTGCTAATTCTGGAGAGATAAAAAGGTAAAAAGAAAAGGGGTCACTCACACCGGTTAAAAGCAAGATACAGCTGTTTGTAGAGGGATATAAATTCAAGGATCTTTCAGGAAAAAGAGGAAAGCTGCAAGTTCAAACCTCCACTGATGTCCTTGAGCGAGATGCTGAGCCCCCCCTTGCCTGCCGTTCTAGTTAAATCTCCCAGGATAGGAGCATCACTTCAATGACTCATTTTTAAAGCTGAGTACAGCCATTACATGCAACCTTGCTGATGTTGAAGAGGATGAACCATTTGTGTAGTTGTCTCCTTTGATGAGCGGATCATTCCTGTTCTTCCAAAGAAAGGACGAAGATTCTGCCGGGACCTGTATCTGAATATACAGAATATCCATTGTTAAAACCTTCTATTCCCTTTTTCCTACAGAAGTTCAAGGTAGTTTTCTTCCTCATCGACCTGTTACCGAGACAAACCTTTATTGAATTTAAGACCTGGCTTTCTTTGACATCCCAAAGCACAGCTAAATTTCTATTCTGAGTTTTAAGAACTCGTGGAGTGGCAGATTCGCCTTCAGATTATGTTCTTCTCTGTTATTTTGTTTTTCCAATGACATACCTTCCAAATCGATATCTCGTTGGACAGACATAGAAAAGATGAGGTTGGCTTTAATTTAGACTTTGCCTGCTCAAAGACGGTTCTCAAGGAGCGCTGACCTGGAGGCTTTAGAGGTTTCTCTACTTCAACGCATCTGATTCTGATTACTGCTGCTCAGGAAAAGCCTGTTAATCAGCCATCAATGGAAATCAGCTGTTGAAGCAGGGACTGACTTTGAGCAGGCCAAGTCTAAATGGAGGCCAACCTCATCTTTTCTTTGTCTGTCCAATCAGATTTGAGCTGGCCTGGTTTAGAGAACGCAAGGATGTGTTTCACAGCTCAAAGTTGCACAGAAATCCACAAAATTTTATCTCTTGACATCTAAACCTGGTTGAAATGTGTTGGGGACAATCAAATGGACCAACCAATTCTGACTTCTAAAGAGTTTGTCCAAGACTACTTGCTAACTAAAACAGTGATAAAAGATGTCAGGAAATTAGAGTAAAGGGTCACCTTACCTAGGATTAACACTGTACACTACTTTGTACGATAATATATCAGCCAAAAACCCCAAATGGTTTTTCCCTGTTTTAATGACAGTCAAAATTCTAGCCAAGGTGTTCTTGAAACCAAGAAGATCAAGAACTCTTTGGCTAGAACTCCCAGCAGGAATGTGATCATGATGAAAATGGGGTTAATTTGGGAAGAAACAAATCTCATAGAAAACCTTTTTCGAAAAAAAAAAAAAAACTCCTTCTACATTTTGACTGAATAGTTTTTTCCAGGGAGAGAATTTACAATGTCCCCAGAGTTGGGGCTTCCATTAAAGCACAGAGTAAGTTTTTGTCTGACTACATTAAAAATGTTCAGTGGCTTAAAAAAACAAAAACAAGCCTTTTATTAGTAGTTTAGGTAAGGGTTTTCCTACTTCTATTCACTTTAGGTTAGAGCAATTAGCAGAAAGCTATTCATATAATAACACAGACTGACAAACAGACGAAAGGACGGACGGATGGCCCTCCAGTCTCAGACAGTAGTGCTGCTCCGGGGCTCAGAATGTGAGGCAGCATAGAGCAAGGAGGAAGCATCTTTAGCAACTTCTTGATTTTAACGTTTATGTCCGTCTTGTCTCTTCTATGGCAAAACTGGCTTGTCAATTACTTAGCTCAATTAAATCAGCTAAAAGATTCTGTTCAGGAGTTTACACATGCTCTAAATGGATAAGCACTTGGAAAGATCTCAGAATTTAGAAACACCAATGTCTGTAAATCCACTGTGGCCAACCATAGTCTAACAACCAACCAGGGTACTAATACTGAATCAAATGACCCATATCGAGGTTTTAATATTAGATCTTATGCAGTTGTGGTTTAATAGTTTTAGTTGCTGCTCATTCAAAAAGTTTTCAGCTCCCCCCCTCTCTTTTTAACCTGCACTCTCCTTATTAAACCTAGACCGAAGGGAATTGCTGTTTATTGCTAAAATGTCTAACTATTTTTACCCGGCAGGAGAAGAAACACCTATATAATCACTAAACCTAGACAGGCAGATGCTTTTCTGTGTCAGAGCACAACACTTTCTGTCGACAAAAGGAAGCTAATCCGTTGGCTTTACTTAATAGGATGTTTCATGCAGATCCCAGTCAGTGTGCTCCCAGGTCTTCCTATCAGCTACCACGCGTCTTCCTTTGTTTTCATTTCTACCTGGAAGTCATATTTAATTGAAGCTCTTGTTTTCATTACCGTGTTTTATTTCCCAGCTTTTAATTCAGTTTTTTATTCACAAACCTTCATGTTTTCGCTTTATAACAGCTTTCACAATAACTGTATTTCTGGTAAATATGTTTAATTTCCAGTCAACTGCACTGTACCAACTGGAAGCTTGGCCCATTGACCTCCTCCTCCCTGGTTGTGGCTTCCATCCGTCTGCTTTTGCTGCTACCCTGCTAGGCTTGTATCATGACGCGTATCACCTCCAATCGATGTACTCATACACCCTCAAATCACCTGCCATTCGTCATAAGTATCTCTGATTCACAAGGGTCATGACCCTTTTCCACCAGGGCTGACGTATACTCATTCTTTGCCTTGCATCACTTCCTTTTAGAGGCCATGGCAATGCTTGGCTGAGACAATGCTATCATCGCTCCTCTCTGCCCGCTCAGCCGTGACAGATTGATGCGCTGGGGTAAACAGATAGGGCTGCTACAACACAGCTTTTTGGTTACTCCAATGGAGCGGTGCCTTGTTTCCCAGGGACAAGAGACGGCGCCGCATGAGGGCCGAGACTGAGCGTGGGGATATTAATGCCTATTGACTCGAGGTAATAGCTTTACCGAGTCCAAGCCTCGAGGTTGCTCCAATTTAGTCTGCCCTATAACAGGCCCTGGACACCTCACGGCAAAAGAAAATACCTCCTCATCATCATACATCACAATAAACATATGATCGAACAACCCGCCCCATCTGAGAAGACTGTTGCCTTTTATCTCCACCTATTTCTGTCCTACATTTCTAAATGTTGCTGGTAAGGCTTTCACAGCTTCCCACTCTGAGCTTGTATCAGCTGCAAGTGTCTAAATTATCCATAACACGGGGCAGGGCGGAGAGAACAAGTGGCCAGCCAGGAACCCTGGGATACCGGTGCTGCTCTTTTCTGTCTGTTTCACAGTGAGCAAAGCTGCAGAGCAGGGCCTTATTTACAGACCAGGGGGTTAAATGTGACTGAGTCAGCTTCTGCCTTTGCGTTTTAGACCCCCAGAGTAACGCTGCGTTAAAAAGATGTCAGAAAGACCCAACTGCCCTCAGTCTAAATAAAGTGAGAATGTGGTTTAAATTTTAAAGGTGGTAAAACAAGTCTGTCTAAAGAGGTTTGAAAAGCATTGGGCATTGGTGAAATCTAACCTGCAACATCTGTGTTTAGGCTTGAAGTGAATCAAACATGCAACCTAAAGCCCGGCGTACAGTGTGCCATTTTCGGGGGCGATTTTCCAGTCGTGCGACAATCTTTCGATTGGGCCGACTTTCAGCCTGATCGTGCGTTGTGAGTCATGTAGTGTACAGGGGGTTACGAGGGGCGATTAGCCTCTCCCGATTACCTCCCGATCAGGAGTAGTAGTAGTGGCTACGTTTGCTCAGCCATGTCTTTTTTCTAAATACGTCATCGCCTTTTCTTTTTAGGGCTTTCAGCACAAAATTGCACAATTTAGTAGTAGTACTAGTAAACTTCATATTCCCCTTCTATTTGTTTGGCTTCCGGATAGACGAGTCAGAGCAGTTCCATCTCACCGCGAAGCTGAGTCCGACGTGGTTTTCAGTTATACAGTGTGAGCAGGTAGATCGCATTAGAGCGTCAGTGCAAACATTAATCGTGAGCTGTGAACTCACACTGTACAACTAATCGCAGGGTTTAGTCGTACAGTGTGAGCAGCAGCTGCGTGCAACAATTGAAAAAATAAAAATCACACAGTGTACGAGTCATAGCAAAGTCTAGACCTTGCTATAAGGTTCAAGAATTTGCTATGACGACCAAATATGATGTTTAGACATTTTTGCCATAAATAGTCAACCTATCGGAGCATTTTAAGCATGTACACAATGCATGGAGACAAAGGTAGCAATGATCAAGACGAAGTTTGTCTCCTTATGTAGTATTCATCTGCAGTCCACATCTCGGGTAAAATATGTTTGTATGCTTGAGGGCTGATGTCCTTCATGTTTTAGGTGATTTCCTTATTGATCGTAGATTTAAATGAACTGCCTGTCAGATAAGAGCAGGTTCCTTCAAGCTTAGCTTCTTTTTAAGTTAAGAACCATCTTCATGTCTTTTTTATGTGTAGGATGGAGTGAGAAATGAGCAAAAAAAAAAAAAAAAAGAAAAACTCTTAATTTAATGGTCCATCTAACTCCCCCACCTGTGCTCAGCAGATATGGATTAAGATCAAAAGAACAAGATCAGGGATAAAAGTAGCTTAAATGAAATTCCTCCATAGTCTGACTGGACTGCCCGTTAGATGGGGAGAGAGTTGCTGTCACATCCAAAGGAGTTAGCTAAGCAATTTCCCTTCTTTAAGAAGTTTCCCAGTAATGCCTCTTGGGGAGAAAAACCCTGATGTACACCACAAACCTGCTGGAAGGTCTTCATTCTGTTTTAGGGAATACCTCAAGCTCGCCCAGGATGGGACAATGACCTCTGCAGCACACAAGGCTCTGTAAGGTAACCTAACTAGCCATTCAGTCTATCGTATTGGAGCAGGAACCTGAATAAAACATGCAAGACTCCATTGGGGCTGAAACAATTAATCTGATTATTCGATTATTGAAATAATCTCCAACTAACTTCAATTAATCGTTAACTGGAGTGTAGAGACTCTAACCCTAACCCATCCCTCTAGTTGACAGAGCAACTTACTTAGAGGAGTAGTTAGACCAAAATTGGGAAAAATTCTATACATTTAGGATTAAAAAAAACTTTCGTAGATATATAGACAAATAGATAGATAGACAGATAGACAGATAGACAGATAGATAGATAGATAGATAGATAGATAGATAGATAGATAGATAGATAGATAGATAGATAGATAGATAGATATTTTTATATACGGTATGTCCTATCTAGAACTCCTCTTGTGAAAAAGTTTTATTTTAAACCAGTCTAATTCTGTAAAAAACAAAGGAACCTTTTGCTATCCTATTATTAATCGACCAATTAATCAATTAACAAAATAATAATTAGTTGCAGCTCTAGATTCCATCCTTCAGCACCAGAACTGGACAGCACCCATGTGTTTGGAACCTGCTAGAAGTCAATAATAACAATAACAATTACATATGGAGTGTATCTCAACACACATCCTGACACTTCAGTTTTAATTTGAGTCTGTGGGACAGTTCTTTCTTCAAATATGATTCTCCTCGGCGGAGGAACTCCAGCTTTGAAGGTAAGGTGGGGGCGCTCGGGTGGAGGCCGTGGGGGTGTGGGATTACGCACGTCTTACGCACGTCAACCTGTCGTCTGTATGTGTGTTTTTACGTGCTCGGGCGCGCACCCTCCCCTCTGTACGTCCTATATCCCATCTCATGCCCGTAAAAAATCCAGAAAAAAAAAAAATAAAAAAAGTAAAAATCATGGCCACCAGAGGATGTGACCCAAACACTGCAGCCTGCAGGCGTCCCGTGGATACCTGAGCATGTATGTGGAGGCAGAATGCAACACGGATGCAGAAATAATAGACTAAAGATGAAGTATTGATGGAAAACAGCCACATGCGGCTGGATTCAGGGCTCCCATTGAGCAGTGCAGGCAATGGATGCAGAGATCAAAGGAGGCTGAGGCGCGTCGCTGAAATCAGAGACGCGGATGTTTTACAGGAGCGAACATCTTCCCCTACCTTTCTGCGTCGCAGGAACCGCTGGGCTCCTGCTCTTCCTCCCCTCTCTCTCCTCCGCTGTTTTCACTTCAGATGCGACGCTGGTAAAGGGGTATTCCGCACCTCTCTGCTCCACATCTACCCATCTGTCCGAGCAGGAACCGGTGAAGGCAGACTGAGAGGGAGAAACCAACAATATGATCCCTGTCTCCCCTCCCCTCTTTTACCTCTCGGTTTCCCCTGTTCTTCTCTTATATTTCCATCCCCTCCTTGTGTTTTTTTTTTTCCTCCTGTCCCCTCCCTCTCACTCTCCCTCGTTTGCTCGCTTTCTGCCTCTCCTTCTTTTCCTCCCTGTGCTCTGAATACTAATATTCCGTCTCTCCCTTCTCTGCCTGTACTAAAGACATACTGATGTATGTGGGGCGTGTATAGGAGAGAGGAGAGAGAGGTGGTTCCTGAGTGCTCCTTCTGCTGCTGTGTGTGTATTTTAGTGGGAAATGGTCTCTGGATCTCGTCCTGGATGTTGTTTGGTCCTATTAGAGCTGTGATTAGATAACAATCCTCCTGCTGATGCTCCAGGAGGGGTGACAGTGGATGTGTTGGGTATGCAGGTGAAATTTTTGTGTGGGATGAGAGAAGAGGAGGATGAGGAGGGGATGGTGGGTCACCGTTTTCTCGGCTGGGAGCCAGAAAAAGACACCAATGTGCTTGTGTGTGTCAGTGCTGGTGGGAAACCTCAACAGGACGATGAGCTGAGGTTAGACACAAGAGAAGATCTATTTAGAAGAAGAAATAGACTTATTAGAGCCATGATTTGATCAAGGTTCTCCTAGAGGCCCTGAGGAGGCAGAGCGGGGCCACATAAAAATGTTTCGCTGTTTTATGGTACACTACCAGCGGCACTGTTAAAGTAGAGCGACTCTGTGTAGCACCAGAGTGTCTTTCTACAGAAGATTGACCCTCGTGATCAGAGTTTCTTACTCGTTAACATGAGTGCAAATTGTAATTAAGAATTCAGCAACTCTTCTTGTTTCAATTCCTGTCAATGTTACAGATTTTTAAAGAAAAGTTGATGTAAAACATAACTGGAATAAAATCTGCCTTTTAATTTATTATTTTATTCATTAACCTCTTACACCCTCAGGGGGTATAAATACATTTCTGCCTGACAAAAACACACAAAAGTAAATCACTTATAGCCTCACAGCTATTAGATTTAAGAAGAAACTTTTGGTACCTCTGTAAAGGTAAGACGTCATAGAATGGTTTTCTGGTGTCAGCACCATTGTAGCTTTGACCCTGCCTGAAATATTAGGGACAAAATACAAAATAGTTTGCATGTTTTGAACCTCGCCAAAATTTTCTTTGAAATAAACATTGCAAAACACTACCAAAATATTATTTATAGCACAAAAAAGTAGTACAGACTTTTAAATCTAAATGTTGTGTAAAAATATACCAAATTTGGACTCAATCAGATGAATCATATTTATTTTAGAATGGTATTAGTGAGAAATTTCTTAGGCGGAGAGGCCATTTTGGCACATTTATCCAAAAATGTCACCAAACTGTGCCAAATGTGTTTTTTACATCAATACTGGGGGTTTGTTAAAATTACGAGGTCACGTAGCAGCTGGACCCACCGGTGGGTCCGTAGGGTTCTAGGGGTTAAGAGGGAAAGCTTCGCCAGCATAACCCTAATTTTAAACCTGTTACCCATCATGATAATTCATAAATTACCTCTTATTTACCACCGCTTGATAAGTAGAGGTCTTTTTCCTCAGCCACACCCAGTTCATCTGTATGAAACTTGTCTAAGAGCACCAAGTAGGGGAGAATTTCTTTTTAAAAAAGAACAGAAAAGTCCTTAATTTGTCTGGAAAATGCTTAAAAAGACATATCAAAGGCTTTGGGAATCCATGACCCTCAGAGAAACATGTAGCAGTGGCGAACCTTTCCAGGACAGATCAACCTACAAAAATCACAGGTGCTCATTGATGACTCATCCAGGAGATCATAATAGAATCAAGAACAGCAGTCCATGCTTTGTAGACCTCACTTGCTGTTAAGAATTCAAGAATATAAGAAAGAGAGTCTGGGTGATAGCCGGTGCCCATAGGAGAGTTTAAAAGCATTAAATACAGAAAGAAGCCCCTTACATATTTTTTTCCAGAAATGTTGGACAACTAATACTATTCTTGTCAACAATTTTTGCACCTGAGCTGTGATGCTCTGCAGCTCCTCCAGAGTTCTGATTATTCCTCTGATTGCCCTGCTTGGCAGACAGTTCAAATCCAGCTTAACCAAACTGTGAATCATTAAATAAACAAATAAACACACAAAATAATTAGAATATGTGAAACTCTTCATGGTCATTCTGTTCTGTTAATGTTTTGGGGTTCTGAACATTTTTAGATCCATTAATTAGTCAGTGTGATCCCTGACAGTCCTCTGACTGGAAGCACAAAATGGCACAAGAACTGGACAGATTATAGTGGTTAAAGCAGCCAAATTCTAAGGAAAAAGTCTAAAGAACTATCTGTCTGGAACATTTTAAAAATATATGTGTGGCTGTGGAAGAAATATATCTTGAAATTACAAGTTGAAGTGTTTATTTTATCAGTTTGGTTGGATTTTAAAATGCACTTTCTGTTTTAATAAAGGAAACGTTAAGAGATATATAAGGAGACTCAACCCTCTGTCCCTCAAGATGTTCACTGCATGACACCCTGCTGCTCCATTATGTCAACATGGTGAGCAATGTGCAGCTATTAGTCTTGTTCTCTGTGTCGTATGAGTTTTGCAGGATCAAACGGTCAGTACTGGTTCCACAAATTATCTCCTTATTTAATTTAATTTTTTTATTTTTTATGTTGATAAGAGTACCAAAAAAAAAGATTCTCTTTATTTTCTGAACTCAAAAAGTCTCTCATTGTTCTTTTCCAACCATCTAATCTTTTAAGGACAACCCGCTGATGAATTCATCAGTTTTTATATTGAGTCCACATGCCAGGGATCAGAGAAAACATTTAGAGCTTGTTGAAGAGTTTAGTGAAGATATTCAACATATTGTAGGAAATTAAAAGAAGGATCCAGATCCACCTGTTTCTGATTCCTGAAAAGATCAACACAGGATCTGCACTGAAAAAGTACAACGCAGAAAATAAACAACAATCTTTACCCTTTGTCTTTTAGATCAATTACAATTTTCAGAAAAAATACTTTTTAAACTGCTTAGTCACTTAGCTTCTGTTTTGTTCCACAGCTCTGGTAGTTATCAGGCCATGGCTTTAAATCAAGCATTTTTAGTGAATCATTATTTTCAAAGTACCAGAAAGGTTGGAATGCTTTGCCTCAAATAAAGAAAAGGTAATATTTTCCTATTTACTGAAACATTTAGAGGGATACAAGGGATACAAATACATCAGCACAAACAATTAAATAAAATTAGGTCTGTTTGGAAGTCTATGTTGTTTTTATATATTTAAAACTGTGATTTTCTCTATAGAGCAGAATCTATTTTATGAGTTTCTGTGTTAGATTTACTATTAAACAGACTATGGGCAACTATTACTGTAAAAGAAAATAACATAACTGTCATCTTATATTAGGAGAGAAAGTGGTTCAAATAGAGCTGGCATTTTCCTGGAGGGAACACAAAAACAAAGTTAATTCTGTGTGGATAATTATAATTATGTGCCTTCATCTCTCACTGATGGTAAATCAGGTCTCAGTGGTGGAAGAAAATAGTTGCCTTTGCAGCCCTGCAGCGAGTGATGATTGACTGATAAATGAGAGTAAACAGTGACCTCTGTTAGCTGTCACAGCGGAGCAGGAAACGAGCCGGAGACAGAGGACAGAGGAACATATCAGGAGAGGAGAGGAGAGGAGAGGAGAGGAGAGGAGAGGAGAGGAGAGGAGAGGAGAGGAGAGGAGAGGAGAGGAGAGGAGAGGAGAGGAGAGGAGAGGAGAGGAGAGGAGAGGAGAGGAGAGGAGAGGAGAGGAGAGGAGAGGAGAGAATTAAACAAATCGGATTATTCCGAGGAAGAAACTAAAAGCTCAGCTGGGGGCGACAACAGCATCATTGGTGGCCACTGTTAGACCAGCAACCTACAAAAACGTTGTAAATGTCTTTTATGTGGGACAGTCTCTCTCTTACTGTATGCACACAAGACAGATCGAGGTCTTCAATTCACACATGCACATTCTTAAGTACTTACCGCACATGCATGCAATCAGACATGAATCATATTAAAGAAAAGTAGGCGGAGAGATGCCTGAGGACAGAAGAGCCCACTGAGAGGAAGATTAAGAATGTAAGACCATGGGTGTCAACTCAATAGGTGGAAATCAGTCCAAATTCAACCATGTTTACAGTTTACATAACAAACACTGTCTAATGGAAGAGGAAGAATGGTGCCACAGGGAGCACTTTGTACCAGTGTGGCTGAAAACTCAATGCACTCAACATAAAATATCACCAACCTAAGTGTTTTTGGCACACGTGGGACTTTTAATGAAAAATGCCCTGATTCTTATAGAATGTCTCACTTTAAATAAGTAATTAAACACATAATTAATATCTGCATAAAAATATTTAAATAGAATTTCAGTTTGTTTGATTTCTATCTGTTTCGTTATCTTATGTATCTGATAAGATCCAGTCAAGATATAATTAGCAGGTTTTATTTCGAGATTGGTTAAATAACAGTTAAGATTAAATAGACTGATGGATTTTTAAAGCAACATGATGATGGCTTTACATTTTTTTTTTTAAAGTTGTTTCTTTTGGGGCTTTGAACAGCAAAAGCAGAACATCATCTATTTCTGTTGTTTATTTGAAAAAGCAATGGTAGAAATAGATTGCACTCCTCTTAATACAGATTTGATTATGAAACTGAGAAATTGGTAAGTTCTAATGAATTCAGAGAATTTTATCACCTTATATAAAACCTGCAGAGAACCATTCATGTTGGATGTTTCAGGAGATACCTCATTGTTGAGCCTGTTGCAAGAAACCGCACAGAATCTTGGTAGAATCAGGATCCTGGCTATGAACTGGTGAAGGACCTTGCACATTTCAGTTTACAGTTATAATTTGGTGGATTAACTTATGTGTCTTTCCAAAAAAATTTTTTAAAGCAAACCACTGGACTTTGTTTTCCAAATTTAAAGATGATTTCTTCCTTTCCATGAAGCTCCTCAAAAGAATGTCCTTTGTCCATGAGGTGTAGATGAGGACCAGAATGTTCAGATTTTGGACAGAAAGGTGGTTTGAAAGGGGTGTGAAGGAAGCCATTTATGTTAAGAGAGAAAAAACAACCTTAAACAGAGGGGGTGGACTCATCACAATAACAATTCTTTCCCACTATCATAATCCTCATCGCCATGCAGGGGACAGACATCTC